GCTGAAGTTCATTGGCGGCCTCAATCGGGCATCTCCAAAAAGAGAATGCACGTGAAGCTGATGAAGGCGTGGTTCCTGATGCGGCTGTTGACGCGTCTGGCAGAAACGAAGGGGTCCAGGTCGCATTTGCAGCTCCGGTTGTCGGCGCCTGTCGAGCACGTCATCCAAGCTAATTGGCCGCAATTGCAGACCCACTTGCGGAACTTTCTGCGCCGGCGCGCCGAGATCGACGGGGAGGTTTCTAAGGTCGTCATAGACGGGCATCAGAAGCTCACCCGGAAGTGTTGCGGGTTGATGTATGGAGGCTACACCTGCGATCCAAATCTCGGCAAGGCGCGCTTGCACCCCTGCCCTGCCCCCACGAGGGGCCAGCGCGAGCGCTGGTGCACTTGCCGCGCCCGTTCGCTGGAGAAGCCCGTGCCGTTTGAGGGCGCCAAAGACGCAGACGCTTTTCTTGTCCGGCGCCGCGAATGCTTGGGGGGCACGCTGGACGACGTGCTCTGTGTGACGTCGCAGCGGCAAGGCGTCGGAGCAGTTCGAGTGGTTGACGATATTGAAGGCTGCTGGGACGCCGTCCAGTCCACTTTGGCCAGGCGCGCCGCAGATGCCGCGAAAGACGCGGCCGAGTCCCGTGCCAGCGAGGGGGCGCCGGACAAACTCAAGGCGAAATTGCCCCGGTTCCGCTTGAGAAAACGCAAAGCACCACTTGGGCCACCAGTGGCAAGACCTGGCCCGCCAGCAGATGAGGCGCCACAGGAGTTTGCTTTTGCCGCGCCCGTCCAGAGTTTGCCTGCGAGGCCGGAGAGAAAGCGCAGGTTGCCCGCTGGCCTGCGCACTTATGCGAGCTGCGGCGATGGGGCGCGCCCTTCGGCGAGCCGCGGCGATGGCAGCGCCGGCCGAGCCGCGCATGCGACGGCTGCGCAGCCTGCGCAGCCCGTAGACCCCGCGGCGGCACTTCCGGCGGTCGACGCATCACTCAGGGAGCTGGAACAGATTTCGTGCAAAACCCACAAGAGCTTTGCCAAGGGAGGGAAACGGGGCAAGCTGGAGTCCGCTTCTCTTGCAGTGCGGCGAACTGGGGGCTTTCTTGTCGCGTGCTCGCCCAGCGGGCACATTATCGACGTGGAGGAGTTCTTCGGCGTTGAAAGCTTGGCGCAGCGGTATTGCTTTCTGGCCCGCTTGAAGAAGCGCTTCCCCGCCTTGAACGTCGTCATCCACGACGACGCCTGTCATCTCCCTCAATATAGCACCAAAAGAAAGGATCAGTCTGCCTTAGCCGCCTTGTTGGCGCACCCGCGCGTCGTATACGTGGTGGGCAGATTTCACGCCAGAGGCCATGTCGACCCATGGTGTAAGCAGCACTGCTGCCCCGACGCACCAGGCGTCAAGGAGCTCGTTGACGGCGCAAACACCAGCATCTGCGAGATTACCTTCTCTTGGGCGGCGAGGTATCTAGTTGCCTTCGGTTGCCCCGCCATCTCGGTCCGATTGCGAATGCCGCGCGCCCGAGAGCGCTCGGAAACGGGAGGGGGGGCGTATCCTTTCCTGTTTTCCAAGTAGGATGCTTGCTTGGCCATGACAAAAACCAGGCTTAGCGACTGCGCGCCAGAGGCGCGGTGGCGGATAAACACACGGTGCGAACAATGGGCCGGCATGTGGCGAATTACTTTTTGGCCGAATGCATCGATATGCGGAACACGGTGCACTCACGAGGCCGAGGCGCAGAGCCCAGCTCTGATACTTCCGAAAGTTCCAGCGACACAGGCACCAGTTCAAGCTCTGGTCGTTGAACACGTAGGATCGACTTTGGGCCGTCGTGCACGTCGTTGGCCCCCGCCCAGGGCTGCGACGCTGCCCGCAGCCGGTGGCGGGCAACAGCTCTGCACGCTGAAGCTGACGCGCGTCGGACTTGCGCGCTCCTCTCCCCCTTCCTGCCCAGGCGTCCCGCAATGGCGGTGCTTTGTAGGCATAGTGGCATTTTGCCCCAGATACTGCAACGTCAGGCCTGGCCAGGGCCATGAGAGCATGCCGCCCGCATGCCGCGGTTCTCCAGCAGGGCGACCCTTGCAAGCAATATAGGGCCATGAGAGCATGCCGCCCGCATGCCGCGGTTCTCCAGCAGGGCGACCCTTGCAAGCAATGTAGTAGCGCTGCATGTAGTGCATTGAAAAGCATGCCAGTCAGCATGGGCCCCAAACAGTGGTTGTCTTGCAATCTATGTGGTGCACTCTGGGTGGTGTAAGCTATATAGTGCAATCTATGTGGGGCAACGTGGTGTTAGCTATGGGGTGCAAGCTATGTTGTAAGAGCTTTGGTATTCATCTAGAACCACGCGTCCGGGGGAGGGGGGGGAAGATGCATTTTTGGGCCCGGAGGCCTCTTGGGCGGAGATGTGCGACACCTGGGATTGTCTGGGTGTTTCTTTGCGAATTGGCTAGTGTTGTGCGTGCCGAATTTCGCGCTGTCCTAATGGGCCGTCTTGGGCCGAATGGAGGCCCCGTTGGACCTTGTTGGGCCGATCTTGGAGGTTTTGTGGGCAATCTTGGACGCTGTGAAACACCCAAGGGTGAATCTGTTAAGCATATATGTTTTCCCAATGGCATGGGACGTCTTTGGCCTCTTGTGTCTCTCTCGGGGCTTCTTCAGCGTCTGAGGCCGTCTGGAGGCCATCGTGACCGACATGGGGCGATCTTTCGGCGACTGGGACGTCTCCGAGCCGTGCTGGTCCTCTCCTGGAGCGTTCTGGGGGAGTTGACCGGGATTCCGCCGGGGATCAGCCGGGTACTTTTCGTCCGGGGTCCTCCAGGGGCTACTCCGAGCGCGCGAATTGCAGGTCCGCGTCGGCAGATATGCTTCGGCAGACCGTGTTGTGCGGCCTCGGGAGGACCTCTTCGGTGAGGGTCCGCCCGTTCGGTTCAACCGTCGTCGTCGCCGCCGCCGTCGGCGTCGTCCGCGTCGTAGTCGTCGGCGTCGTCGGTGTCGTCGGCGTCGTCGTCGTCGTCGGCGTCGTCGGCGTCGTCGGCGTCGCCGCCGCCGTTGCTGTCGTCGGCGGAGTCGTCGTCGGCGTCGGCGCCTTCGTCGTCGTCGTCGTCGTCGGTGCCGTCGTCGTTGGTGTCGTCGGCGTCGTCGTCGGCGTCGTCGTTGTCGTCGGCGCCGCAGTCGTCGTCGTCGGCGTCGGCGTCGGCGTCGGCGTCATCGTCCCCGTCCGCGCCCTCGGCATCGGCGTCGTCGTCGTCGGCGTCGGCCGCGTCGTAGTCATCGTCGGCGTCGTCGGCGTCGTCGTTGTTGGCGTCGTCGCCGCCGCAGTCGTCGTCGTCGGTGGCGCCGCCCGCCCGACCCGACCCGCCCGACCCGACCCGCCCGTTAGGGTCCGGCCGACCCGACCCGACCCGACCCGCCCGTTAGGGTACGCGCGTGCCAATTCGATGATGCATCATACTTTAATGTCCCGCCCGCCCGACCCGACCCGCCCATTAGGGCCCGCCCCGCCCCGCCCGACCCGACCCGCCCGTTAGGGTCCGGGCGACCCGACCCGACCCTAACGCGCGTGCCAACCCGATGCATCACCGCGTAGGGTAGGGTACGCGCGTGCCAACCCGATGCATCATACTTTAATGTCCCGCCCGCCCGACCAGACTCGCCCGTTAGGGTGCGCCCGCCCGACCCGACCCGCTTGTTAGGGTCCGCTCGACTTGACCCGACACGCCCGCGAGGGTACGCGCGTGCCAACTAGATGATGCATAATACGTCAATGTCCCGCCCGCCAGTCCCGACCCGCCCGTTGGGTCCGCCCGCCCGCCCGACTCGACCCGCCCGCTAGGGCCCGCCCGACCCGTCCCGACCCGGCCCGCCAGGGTCCGCCCGACCCGACCCGTCCCGCCTGGAGCCGCGCGTGTTAGCTCGACGATGCATTGTATTTTAATGTCCCGCCCGCCCGACCCGACCCGCCCGTTAGGGCCCGCCCGCTCAGCGAGGCGTTGCCATGGGCAGTTCTGTTCGTGCACGCGTTCGCGTTCACTCATGGCGCTCGCATGTTCACATCATATGTATACCACTTCTCTGTGTGCCATGCTGCTGTTGCTGCTGCTGCTGCATATTGTCTTATTTGCCCTCCTCCTATTCCTCCTCGGGCTCTTCCTTATGCTGCTCTTCCTCATCCTCGGGCGGCCCCATGCGGGAGGCCTCCAGGAAGGATGAGGAGGAGGACAGTGAGGGGAGGAGGATGCTGGTGATAGAAATGAGGATGAGGATGAGGATTCGATGAGGACGATGTGGAGGACAATGAGGATGAAGAGTACAATGAGGATGAGGATGACGAGGATGACGATGCGGAGGACGATGAGGATGAAGAGGATTAGGATTAGGAGGATGAAGATGAGGATGGTGATTTGGATGATACTGACGATGCTGATGATGGCGATGAGGATGGTGAGGATGACGACGATGATGAAGATGAGGAGGGTTCTCGACGCACCGGACGCACCGAACCTACAAAGCCCACCACACGCACAGGACCCACCGAACCCACCAGACCCACAGGACCCACCAGACCCAATCACCAGACCCGCAGAAAGCACCGGACCCACCGGACCCACCGGACCCACCAGACCCACCGGACCCACCGGACCCACCAGACCCACCAGACGCACAGGACCCACAGGACGCACCGGACACACCGGACCCACCGGACCCACCGGACCCACCGGACCCACCGGACCCACCGGACCCACCAGACCCACCGGACCCACCGGACCCGCCGGACCCACCGGACACACCGGACACACTGGACCCACCGGACCCACCGGACACACCGGACACACCGGATCCACCGGACCCACTAGACCCACCGGACACACCGGACCCACTGGACCCACCGGACCCACCAGACCCACCGGACCGCAACCCCAGGGCGGACCATCTTCAGACCGCGGGCCACAACCAGAAGACATGCCCATACGGTAGGGGGCATTCGTCAAAGAATGTGCCCAGGAGGCTTCACA